TTAAGTAGGAGGAGAAGGAGGATTGAAGTAGGAGGAGGATGAGGAGGAAAAGCAGGAGGAGGAGGAGCAGGAGGAGGAGCGGGATGATGGGGAGGAGAAGGAGCGGCATGAGGAGGAGCGCGATGAGGAGGACAGGCGGCAGACGAGGATGGCGAGGCTGGCCCAGATGGCGGTTGGTGAGAACAGAAAGAAAAGAGGGGCGCCAGAGGACGAGCAGGAGCAGAAAATGGAACAATGGGGCAGGACGTGGCCCAGATGAGGAGGACTGGAGACTGCGGATTGTTCTCCTGCCGCCCATCCGCGGGGGGGGGGCTCTCGTCGCCGAAGCGGCGGGGCTAGACTCGAAATAATCAGGCCTCAACGTGCTACAGGAGATGCCAGGGGAACGACTTTGAGGGAGGAGGAGTGGGAGAAGGAGGAGAACGAGGAGGAGGAGGAGGAGTATGAGGAGGGGGAGGAGGAGGAGGAGGAGGAGGAGGAGGAGGAGGCGGAGGGGGAGGAGGGGGAGGAGGCGGCGGGGGAGGAGGAGGCGGAGGAGGAGGAGGAGGAGGCGGAGGAGGATGGGAGTGGAACTGCGGCAGCTCAGGATGGCTACCGCAGCGCGCCCTGTCAGCTGGAGCCCTGCGCCGCGGTGCAGCCGAAGCAGTGCGCGTCCGTCCTGACGGCGGCCTTCTGCAGCAATGGCCGGGGGACGCCAACTGTCCACCAGCACCGATCCTCCCCAGTCCTCGCGCAAGTCCGGGTGACGCACCGGACACCGCGACGACGACTGTTTAGATATATATGCTCGGCCTCTGGGGGGCCGTTTCACGGCCACAGGACCGCCAACAACTGCTCAGGATGGAAGCCAGCCCCGGGGCAGGGGTCGAGAGTCGAGAGCTCCGGGGCCGACGTCACGGCAAAGCCCTCGCTGCGGCGGCAGAGAGGGCAGTCCTGGCTCGATGCGTGGCGCCATGGGAGCGGGCCCTGGCGAAGAGAGGGCCCTGCAAGGTGTTTGCGCCGTCCTCGGGCCCCCTCGGGACCTCCCAAGGGCCCCGGGGCCTGCAAGAGCTGGATGCAAGTGGAAGGCTGATCCTGCGGCGGGCCCCCGGGCCTAACCCGTTTGCCTCAGGACACCCGTGCCTTCTGGCTTAGGTCGGGCATGTCCTCCTACACGCGGATTTGGGACGAACAGATAATCAAACACTGCTCAAAAATAGTCAAAGGTAATCAAACATCGTCCCCAGACTATCTTTTTCACTAGACTCTTTGATGATTCCTCCTGTAGAGGGGCACGCCCAGCTTACCTCCTGGCAAGGTCCTGCCCCAGTCCAATCCCTGCCGAAGAGGGTTGCCTGAAAGGCTTGCAAGCGTGCCCCTTCAGCCCCGATTGGGCCGAGGACGGGCCCACGAGGGATCACGGGAGAGGGACGGCTGGTTGGCGTCGCCCCGGGATGGATCGCTCAAGCTGTCCACATCGAACACTGTCAGGCCACCCCGCCTGAGTTCGAGTTCGAGCTGCTGGTTGAAGTCGCAGTCGTATATCCTGCCGTCCCATCTCACGTTGACCGTTTCAAGGCACATCACGTGCGGCACTGTCTCCGGATTGAAATTCCGCACCAACAGGTCCATGTAGCCCTCCAAGGTGCCTTTCTTCCGTAAGAAATCGAAAAACCGCTTAACTGGAATATTGGCAATTGTGATAAGCCGGTTGAACTGAATCCCGTGCTCCTTCTGCAACTCTACGCGGTACTTAGCCTCCAGCAGATCCTGCTTTGGCGGCAAGAAGGGGCCAGGCGGATTAAAGACAAGGTCCAGCAAGAGCCCAGTCTCGCTCTCGGCACCCCCTTGACCATAGCCGCGGGCATTCAGCATCTGCAGCGCCTTCATGCTGCGATCGAAGACCTTGCGCCCACGCTGGCGATCCGTCTGCGTCGCGTCGTAGGAGGGCAGCGATGCGATGACAGAAGAGCGAAAACCTGCACAGACATGATGAACCGTCGGGGGCCCGGTCGGTTGAGCAGGGACCGACCCTCCTGGCATTCCTGCAGGCCTATACCACGACATAACCTCAGAACCTCCCCACATGCTCACGGTTTGATAATGAACCAGATGTGATACAACAAGACAGTCCCAGCCAGACATGATCTGAGAACAATAGGTTCTTAGAACATTCCTTAGAACATTCCTAGGCGGGCCACTAGAACATTCCTTAGAACATTCCTTAGAACATTATTAGAACATTCCTTGGAACATTAGGTTCTTAGAACGTTCCTTCGGGCAGACCACTTAGGTTCTTGGAACATCCCTTGGCGGGCCCATCGGCGCGCCAGGACGCCTCGCCACTGCCCGAGTCGGCCTCCTCGGGCCGGCGCCGGCCTCCCCGACCGCCCTCCCCTGGCGACGCCTCCTGCGCCGCCCCCGCCGCGCTCCGCGCGCGGGGATAGAGTCGAGGCGTTGACCTAAGGAACCCCAAATAAGGAACGGGCCCCATTTTTCCATAAGTCGAACTTTGATTCCCATCGAAAGCCTAAGGAACACCTCAGGCAGGCTGTAAGACAGTGAGGGAGCGCGCCCCGACTGTAGGGGTCAGGGTTAGGTCGGGAGTGCCCCCCTGCAGGCGAATCTTGAACGAACAACTGACAACGCCCAAACAGTACTCTCAGAAAACAAATCGACAAGTCGTCCCCAGACTATCCTTGACCATGCTTGATGTCTTTCTCCTGTAGAGGGACATGCCCGACTTCAGGCCAGGGGGAGCGAGGGGGGGGGGGCCGCGCCGACCCGAGAGCAACCCCCGCGCGGACGCTCCCGAGGCCGGGTGCCCGTGCCGCGCTTCCGCCACTCTGGATGATCTGCACCTGCAGAGGCCTCCCGCAGGTGGGGTCCGAGCAGCTGGGCTCGGAGCCTCGCGCAGCACCGCCGGTGCGTCAGCGATGCATCGGCGATGCACCGGCGATGCACCGGCGAGGCATCGGCGGCGCCCACGAGGCATCGGCGACGTCGGCGTGGAACGTCACGGGCTCCGCGTCGAGCAGCACCGCGAGGCATCGGCGATGCGGCGCGATCCTCCGACCCCATCTGCTCGGTCCCCATCTGCGAGGCCTAGAACCTGGTGGCTCGCCAGGAACTCCAGCAGGTCCTCCTGCCCGGGCTCCAGGAGCACGGTCAGGTTGCACCTGTCGATGATGCGCAGCTGCCTGCCACCCTCTCGCAGCCGGGCCGCTCCCTCCACCAGGCGGCGGAAGCCCCTGTTCATCTCCGGGGCGCCGCCGGTGATGTCCAGCGTGGTCACTTCCGGAGAGGTGCTGACGAGGGGAGGCCACTATCGTTCGGTGAGGCTACAGGCGGACTTTGGACGAAACATAAACACAGACAAAGAATGATCAAACATGGCCGAGCGAAAATATTCGAGGAATCGTCCCCAGACTGTTTGTTTCCTCCTGTGGAGGGACGGGCCTCCTGTAGAGGGACAGGCCCGACTGAACCCTACCGTAGAGGGACAGGCTCCGTGTTTGCACATTCCTCCTGTATCGGGGATGGACAGACCCCCATTTAGTAAAACGTGGTTTAGTGAAAACGACCTGAGGCCCAAACCTGGCGGGCGCAAGCCTGGAAAATAACGGCCACGGCGCCCTCTCGAGAGCCGAAAACGGACAATTCGCTAATCGACGTGTCACTGTTGGGGGTTCTGTCCGCCCCCGGCTGTAGAGGACGGGCCCGACTGAACCCTACCGTGCGCGCGCTTCGGAGCTGCTGGTCGAGGGAAGCTGGCAGGCCTTCGCCGCCCAGGCGTGGGCACGCTGCACGTGCAGGCGGCGAGGACCCAGCGCAGCGCGCGGGGTGCACGCGTGCTCCGGCTGGCTGTCGCAGGGAGACAGCACTGAAGGGGCCCTGGGACACACAAAGAAATAGACACGAACACAGGATTTTCCCAAGAGCTTCCCATATTCTCTGGGCTGCCGTCTTCCCCCCCACTTCTCGTATCTTCCTGCTCTTTCTCGGAATCCATGATTCATTGTGTCTGTGTGTGTGTGTTCTCTCCTCCTGGAACATGGAGGTCCGCGCGGGTTTCTTAGATCCGCGCTGGGCTTATGTCGGGCGTGTCCCCCCACGTGGGGATTTTCAGCGAAAAACCAAAAAAACCCAAAATGCCCCAAAAAGGTCCAAAAATACTTAAAAAATAGTCCCCGGACTATTTTTGGCTTATTGTTCTGATACTTTGGGGGTAGTTCTTATTTTCCGTCGAACATCCCCCTGTAGGGGGACAGGCCCGACTTGAAGGTCCGCGCGGGTTTCTTGGATCCGCGCTGGGCCCCCCCTTCCCATATCTCGGGGATCTTCTGACCCGGGTCAATCCAGACCCGGGTCAGCAGGAAACCAAAAACTGCAATGCAGGAAAAAAAACTGCAACGCAGATCTTCGCAAACCCTGGTCAGCCAATATGCGCGGCCGCCTCGCGGCCACGAGCGGCTCGCTAACCCGGGTCAGCCAGAGGGGGTCTTCGCAGGATCCTGCAGGATCTGGCGCCTTGGCTGACCCCCGTTTGCATTGATTCCCGTCTCCTGAGCCCCGACCGGAAAGACATTCTCCGGGACACTCTGGGCCCACCCTGTCCTTTTCCAGGCGAAGTCCACTCTGCGATGTTGGCGCCGTGCAAACGAGGAGGGGGAGGAGGAGGCGGAGGAGGAGGAGGAGGCGGATGAGGAGGAGGGGAGGGGAGGAGGAGGAGGAGGAGAGGAGGAGGATGAGAGGGGGAGGAGGAGGAGGGGAGGAGGAGGAGGAGGAGGCGGAGAGGAGGAGGAGGCTCAAGGCTCCCGAATATGGCGCGCGGAGCGCGCGCCGGCGCCCGAGGCGCCGCCAAAAGGGGGGCCACGCGGCGCCGCGCCGCGAGGCCCGCGCGGAGCTCAGGCAGGCCGTGCGCGCGCCGCCAAAGCGCCGACCCGCGAGGTCCGCGCGGGGCTCGGCGCGTCGTGCCGACCGAAAGGGGCCCAGGGACACACAGAGAAATACACACAGATAAACAGATTCCCCATATCTTCCCCTATTTTCTGAGTTGTGGTCTTCCCGCCCAACTCCCACATTTTCCCATCCCTTCTGGGGAATCGGCGATTGATTGTGTCTGTGTATGGTTTTCCCCTCCTGAATGCTGACTGAAGGGGCCCAAGGACAAACACACACACACACACACACACACACGCACGCACGCACGCACGCACGCACGCACGCACTCACAACCACACACAACCACACACACACACACGCACGCACGCACGCACGCACGCACGCAGGCACGCACGCACGCACGCACGCACGCACGCACGCACGCACACACACACACACACACACACACACACACACACACACCACACACACACACACACACCACACACACCACACACACGCACACACAAATATCAGGATTCCCCACATGTTCCGATCTTTTCGGGGTTGCTGTCTTCCCCCCCACTTCCCACATGTTCCCCCATCTTCACATCTTCCTGGGAGTCGACGATTCATTGTGTCTGTGTGTCTGTGTCCCCCCTCCTGACTGATGGCGTCTCGTTTCTTAGGAGAGCAAAAACTCGGACGTCCGCGCGGATTTCTCGGATCGGCGCTGGGGCCTCCCCGGCGGCGCCTCCGGCGCCGCCCCTGGCGCGCTCCGCGCGCCAGGGAGGGGGGTCCAGCGCCGATCCGAGAAGTCCGCGCGGACCTCTGAGTTTTTCTGTTCATGCCACTTCTCAATCCCCTATGTTATATGTTTACGCCACGGGGGGGGGCGGGGGCCGAACGAAAGGGGGGGGGCCCGTCCCTCGCGGGGCGTCTGGGGGCCGGGCCGCGCGCGGGCGGGGGGCGCCTGCAGGCCTCTCGCCCCGGTGGGGCCGGAGGCGGCCGGCGCCGAGCGTGCAGAGCCGCGGGGTCCGAGCGTGCCTCCCCCGGGCGGCCGCCCGTTGCGGCCACGCCCCCCAGGGCTTCGAGCCTCCCCCGCCTAAAGAGGGCACCCCCGGGGCCCACCTGTGCGGGTCTCCCCCTTCGATGCCCCGCGGGCCCTCCCTCCGCGACATGGCGCACGCCAGCTCCCCCAGGACAAGAGCCTCCTCCTCCTCCTCCTTCTCCTCCTCCTCCTCGTCCTCGTCCTCCTCCTCCTTCTTTCCCTCCTCCCTTCTTCCTCTCTTCCTCCTCCTCCACCTCCTCCTCCTCCTCCTCCTCCTCCTCCTGCTCCTGCTCCTCCTGCTCCCTCCGCCTCATGCTCCTGCTCCTGCTCCTCCCCTCCTCTCCTCTCCTCCTCCTTTTCCTCCTTTTTCCCTCCTCCTTCCTCCTCCTCCTCCACATCCTCCTCCTCCCTAGACCGATATCCACCATGCAACACCAATACCATCACAATCACCATCACCATCACCAAACCATCACCATCACCATGCAATGACTCCAGACCAGGACCATTGGACCATGACATCATATGACCATGGACCTATGGACATCACCATCACCCCATCATCATCATCTTCATCATCATCAATCATCCTTTTCATACAGCAAGCAGCAGCATCAGCAGCAGCAGCAGCATCAGTCAATCAGCAAATTCAATCATATCAGCATCATCACCAGCATCATCAGCATCAGCATCAGCATCATTCAGTATATCCAGCGCTATCATCACCATCATCATCATCATCATCATCATCATCATCATCATCAGCATCAGCATCATCATCATCATCATCATCATCATCATCATCATCATCATCATCAGCATCAGCATCTTCATATTTATCTCCATCATCCTCATCATCATCCTCATCATCATCATCCTCATCATCATCATCATCATCATCAGCAGCATCAGCATCAGCATAAGCATCAGCATCATCAGCAGCAGCATCAGCATCATCATCGTCAGCACCATCATCATCACCATCATCAGCATCATCATCTTCAACTTCATATTCATCATCATCATCAGCATCAGCATCACCAACATCACCATCATCACCATCATCAGCAGCATCAGCAGCATCAGCATCATCACTACCAGCAGCATCATAATAATAATCATCATCAGCATCATCACCACCACAACCCACCACCACCATCCTCAGCAACATCATCATCATCATCATCATCATCATCATCATCATCATCATCAGCAGCAGCAGCATTTCTCTCCTCCTCCTCCTCCCCCTCCTCCTCCTTTCCCTCCTCTTAATCGAATGTCTCTGAGATCTGGCGGCTCTGGAGGATGACTCAGAGCCGCCGCGGCCCTCCCAGAGCGTGCCTGAAAGCTCCCAGAGACCTCCGGAGATCCTCGTCCTGGCCCCGCTCGAAGGTGCCACGTCTACGACTGGCGCAGTTGGAAGCGGAGGATATTCAAAGGCAACTAGACTGTTTCGAGGATCTCCTCCTCCTCCTCCTCCAACTCCTCCTCCTCCTCCTCCTCCTCCTCCTCCTCCTCCTTCTCCTCCTCCTCCTCCTCCTGTTCATTCCCCCCCCCCTGTGATCTATCTATGTGTTTCGAGGATCTCCTGGGTGCCTTGTGAGAGCCATCCGGGTGACTCCTGCAACCCGTCGGACCTGCCCAGAGGGCACCGAGCCCCATCCATGCGCCCTGTGGGGCCGTCCCTGGGGGAGACGGCAGGTTCGTGTCGTGACGACGTCGGCGTTGTCGCGGACACCGCGTGGATCGCTCAGCCTCGAACAATGGCGGCTTCCCGATGGCGTGGAGCGTTTGAAGGTCGGCCGATTCTGGGCCTTCAGCCCTGAACGCCTGCGCTGGAGTCGCCGACGCGTCGACACGACGCAGACCGACGCATGGGGCTCCCTGCGTCTGGCCTCGCGCACGGGTTCAAGAAAGGTGGTGGCCTCCCAGATGAGATGAAGGCAGCGGTCCACCACCTCGAACGACGCCATCTCGTCCCTCATGAGCACGTTTAACCAATCCCAATCCCCACTGGCGTGGCCTGGGCCGCACTGGCCGATTTACCCCCCAGATGGGGATACGGTTTTTCCCCTTCGGGTCTCGAGGGACATGTCCCCCCAACTGGGGTGGCGGGATGGTGGGGCTGAGATGCGGCCTGGCATCGGATGGGGATGGGTGAGAGAAACGATGCTGACCTCAGCGGCGAGGACTCCACGTGGCAGTGCGTGCACGCCTGTAGCAGAAGAGAAACACCATAAGCATAAACTGTTGGTGCTCCCCGCGGAGCGCGCCAGGGGCGGCGCCGGATGCGCCGCCGGGGGGGACCAGCGCGAATTCAAGAAGTCCGCGCGGAGTGCCCACAGTTTATGCCTACAGAAGGGGCGTTGACCTAAGGAACCCTAAATGAGGAACGAGGCCCCTTTTCTCCAAAGTTGAACTTCGATGTCCCTTCGAAAACCTAAGGAAAACCCAAGGCAAGCTGTGAAACACTCGAGGAACACGGAGCCCCTCCCCAACCAAAAGGGTTCCTTCTTCGGGGCCCCGACTGTATGGCGTTCGTTCTTCTTCGAGCCTGGTTGCAGTACAGGCCGATGTTCAGCTGCAGGCAGGTGGTCGTCCGGCGGGTGAGGTCGCCCAGGCCCCGGTCCCGCAGGAAGCGGCGGAACGGCGGCGCCCCTACCGCCGCGAGGGCCTCCGCGAGTGCCACCGCCCCGGGGGGGGGGTCCTCCTCCTCCCCTCCTCCTCCTCCTCCTGCTCCTCCTCCGCCTCTCCTCCTCGGGTTTCTCTCCTCCTCTCCTCCCCCCCCTCCTCCTCCTCCCGCCTCCCCTCCTCCTCCTCCTCCCCCTCCTCCTCCTCTCCTCCTCCTCTCCTCCTCCTCCTCCTCCTCCTCCTCCTCCGGCGCCTCCTCCTCGTTCACCTCCGCGAGTGCCATCGCCCGGGGGGGGTCCTCCTCGCTCCTCCTCGCTCCTCCTCGCTCCTCCTCCTCCTCCTCCTCCTCCTCCTCCTCCTTCTCCTCCTCCTCCTCCGCCTCCTCCTCCTGCTCCTCCTCCTCCTTTTCCTTCTCTTCCGCTTCTTCCTCCTCCTCGTTTTCCTTTTCATCCTGCTCGTCCTCCTCCTCCTCCTCCTCGTCGTTGGTGGCAGGATGAGGAGGGAAACGGGGAGGAGGAGGAGGAGGAGGAGGAGGAGGAGGAGGAGAAGAAAGGCGCAGACCTCCGTTTTCAGTGCATGGCCCCTGCAGCACTCGAACGTTTCTCTGGGGTGGGCTGTCCACCCCGCGTCGTTGTTGTTGCCGCCCCAGCGCCCATAATCGGCTGCGAGAATTCGAAGACCCTCCCAAGGCGACGCAACCGCAAAAAAACGCAACAGAAGCTGTTACCCTGCCTTCTGCCTCTGCAGGCCGCGTCCCCACCTCAAGACAATCAAGAACTACTCAAGATGAACAAACCTGCCTTAGGGAAGGGGTCGGGTTCTGCGGGGGCCGACGTCACAAACAATTGAGGATGAGGGGAACGTAGTGGGGCGGAGGATCGCACCGCATCGCCGATGCATCGCCAATGTACCAGCGACGTCGCGACGGACAACATCGGACTCCAGAACGCGCCGCATCGGCGATGTATCGGCGATGCGGCGCAATCCCCCGACGCCATCTACTCTGGCCACATTCGGGAGGCTTGGAGCATTTTGTTGTGAACGTTTCTTATTCGGCGTTTCGACAGTGGGCGGAAAGGGGGGAGTGGTGGGATGTCTGGCTCCAGACCTCTGTTTAATGCGACTGTTTGAAACAGTGCGTCCAATGGGAACACTCCACCTGCATGAAGCAGGCGCCAGGTGGTGGGGGGAGGGGGTGCGAGGGCCCGCGCCGATACGGCTGCCCTTTGCGCATGTGCGACCCCTGCCGGGGCCTCAGGAAGACCGTCCACCTTCTTCATCCACCTCCTTGCTCCACCTCCCATTCGACCACATTCTTGAAACACCTACTTGGGGTCCACCTCCTGAAGCCTCTGGAACCGCACTCCTCGACCCACCTCCTGAAAGGTCCCATCCAACCCCTCCTATTGGGGATGGACAGATACCCCTATAGCAAAACGTGGTTTACTAAACACGACCTCGGGCCAAATCTGGCCTGCGCAGGCCTGGCAAAGGATGGCCGCGGCGCCCGCTCGAGAACCGAAAACGGACAATCCACTCTTCGACGTGTCAGGGTGGGGATTCTGTCCATCCTCGATCCCTCATTAAAGGATCGACGTCCCAGCCGTGCACCTGCAGACGCCACAAGCCCATAGAAGGGGCCGCGCAGGGGGGCATGGAGAGCAACCCACAGCCTCGGGAGCCGCGCTCTGTGTCCGTTCCCTGCCCCCGGCCTGGCGCTCGGAGTAGGGCGCAGTGGCATGTGTTCGGATCGAACATCGATCCTCGAAGTCACTTCCTCCTCCTCCTCCTCCTCCCTCCTCCTCCTCCTCCTCACCTCATCATCCTCATCCTCATCCTCATCCTCATCCTCATCCTCATCCTCATCCTCATCCTCATCCTCATCCTCATCTCATCTCATCATCATCATCATCATCATATTCATCATCATCATCAGCAGCAGCATCACCATCACCATTATCATCACCATCACCCTCACCATCACCATCATCATCATCATCATCATCATCATCATCATCATCATCATCAGCATCAGCATCAGCAGCATCCATCATCATCAGCATCAGCCGCATAACATAATCAGCATCATCATCATCAGCATCAGCATCAATCATCATCATCATCATCAGCAGCAGCGCTGCTCATCAACATCATTATCAGCATCATCCTCATCATCATCCTCATCCTCATCCTCATCCTCATCAGCAGCAGCAGCAGCATCATCAGCATCAGCATCAGCAGCATCAGCATCAGCATCAGCAGCATCAGCATCAGCATCATCATCATCATCACATCATCTCATCATCATCATCAGATCATCATCATCATCATCATCATCATCATCATCATCATCATCATCATCATCATCATCATCATCATCGTCATCATCGTCATCATCGTCTCATCGTCATCATCATCATCATCATCATCATCATCATCATCATCTCATCATCATCATCATCATCATCATCATCATCCTCATCACTCTCCTCCTCCTCCTCCTCGTTCTCCCCCTCCTCCTCCTCCTCCTCCTCCTCCTCCTCCTCCCCCTTCTCCGCATCCTCCTCCCCCCTTCCTCCTCTCCTCCTCCTCCTCCCTCCTTCCTCCTCCTCCTCCTCCTCCCCCTTCTCCGCATCCTCCTCCTCCTCCTCCTCCTCTTCCTCCTCCTCCTCAATCCCCTCCTCCTCCTCCTCCTCCTCCTCCTCCTGCTTCCTCCAGTTTGGAAGAGGCAAGGTGCTGTGGGGACTCAAAAAAAAATCACACTGCCTCGCTACACTGCATCCCTTCGCTCCGCCTCCTTGGTCCCGTCGTCGACGCTGCTCGCCCGATGCTGCACCCGAGGCAGTCTGGCAGTCTGGCGAAACGCGCAGACTCGGCGTCTTTTCGCTGGAACCCCGTCCAAAACAGTAGAGGCGTCCAAAACAGTTGGAGCATCGTTGGGCGCCCGAATTATCTGGGGTAACTCGGGTCTGGGGTAACTCGGGCTCGGAGTCCCGAGAACCGAACCCGAGTTAGCCCAGACACGAGTTACCCCTGATGATTTGGGGGGCTCTGACTTTGCGCCACATCGGCAATGCTTCGCCGATGCATCGCCGACGCATCGGCGACGCCGGCGAGCATCGGCGCCATGGGCGTGCAGAAAATCGGGCGCCACATCGAGCCGCATAGGCGATGCATTGGCGATGAGGTGCAACACGCAAATCAGCGCCCAGCTAACGAGAAGAGAGCGTTCTCGAATGTTAGCTTGAAAACTCGCAAAATATATTTTGGGGTGTTTATACGACGTCGTGCTCCTCGTCTTGCTCCTCGTCCTGCTCCTCCTGCTCCTTCTGCTGCTGCTCCTTCTGTCGCCCCATCTGCTCCGACACCATCTGGCAGAAAGAGCACGTTCCTCATCGAGCTCGAGCAAGTGAGCTTGCATGGGGTTTTGACCCCTCCCCTTCATGAGACAGTGCTGGGCCGAAGCGGCGTGCAAATGAACGCGAACGTCGACTTGCACGAAGTCCAGCGTTCCTTCAGGGCCTCGCTACCCCCCCCTTCCCCTCCATGCAAGCAACCTTGCCGGAGCCTGAAGACAAAATTTGGGCGCCCGAGTTATCCGGGGTAACTCGGGTCCGGGGTATCTCGGGTTTGGATCCCCGCAAAAACGAACCCGAGTTAGCCCTGACCTGAGTTACCCCTGATGATTTGGGGCTCTGGACGCCCGAACTACCCGGGGTAACTCGGGTCCGGGGTAAATCGGGTTCGGAATCCCGAAAAACGAACCCGAGTTGGCCCTGACCCGAGCTACCCCTGATGATTCGGGGCTCTGAAAAATGCCCCAAACGAGGAGGCGGCTGGCCGGGGCCTGACCCCTCCTGTCGACCTCCGCGGCGGGCGCCATGGCGTCCGCGGCCAGGGTGCCCCCGCTCTCCTCGAGGTCCTGCAGCGCGTCCGGGATGAGGCTGGAGTACTCCTGGGCGCGGGGGCGGACCCCCCTTTAGCAAAACGTGGTTTAGTGAAAACGACCTGAGGCCCAAACCTGGCGGGCGCAAGCCTGGAAAGTAACGGCCACGGCGCCCTCTCGAAAACCGAAAACGGACAATTCACTAATCGACGTGTCACTGTTGGGGGTTCTGTCCACCCCCGATCCTGGGCGCGGGGGCGGACCCAGCGCGCTCGCGTCGCCAAACTGACACGACGGAACCCGATCGGACGAGAACATGGAAGCGCCGCTTTGGTCAAATGGGCGCATTGGCAGCGAGGAGTCGATGCCGATTGTTCGGCTGCCCGTGAGGGAAGAACGTTGATCATGCCCATACGGGTAAACGTGATGCCGAAAATGGCGCGGGCGAGCATGCCTGGAGGTAAGTCGGGCCTGTCCCCCTACAGGGGGATTGTCGACGAAAAAAATACCCCAAAAATATTCCGAAAAGGTCAAACAATAATCCCAGACAAGTTTTAGATTATTTTTGGACTACTTTTGGGGTAACTCTTTTGTTTCGTCGAAAATCCCCCTGTGGGGGGACAGGCCCGACTTAAAACTGGAGTACTCCTGGGCGCGGGGGCGGACCCGGTGCGCTCGCGTCGCGAAAAGAAGCAGCACGGCGGAAGCCGCCGCCGCGCCTGCAGCGCGGCTGGTGTGCGTCGGGCGCCCTCGTCTTTTTGTTACAGCGCAAGAGCCTCTATCTCTCCGACGCAGCAAGCCCATGATGCTCTCGCCGTTGCTGCCAGACCCCTGCCTTTGCTGGCCTCCTGGGCACACCAGTGTTCAAGCTGATGATGATGATGATGATGAGGAGGAGGAGGAGGAGGAGGAGGAGGAGGAGGACCCTCAGAGCTTGCAAGGAGGCGGAGCAGGATGGGTGGGGGGGGGGGGGGGCACGTGCGGCGCAGGGGACGGCCGACCGTGCCCCCATCCCACCATCATAGGGGGGATGCGAAGCCCCTGGATACGGGACGGGGTGGGCACGGGTTGGCACCATAAGCTGGCCCACTGCCGAAAATAAGCATCATAACTTCTTCTTGGGCGCCCGAGTGATCCGGGGTAACTCGGGCCCGGGGGAACTCGGGTTTGGATTCCCGAGAAACGAACCCGAGTTATCCCTGACCCGAGTTACCCCTGATGATTCGGGGCTCTGGACGCCCGAAATATCCGGGGTAACTCGGGTCCGGGATAACTCGGGTTCGGACTCCCGAAAACGAACCCGAGTTAGCCCTTTCCCGAGTTACCCCGGATGATTCGGGGCTCTAACCCACTGCCAAAAAGAAGCATCATAACTTCTTCGGCAGTACACAGGACTGATCCACTGACGGATCCACTCCATCCTCCATTCCTTGGCGTCAGATTCATGCGAAGCAGCAAGCTCTCTCTCTCTCTCTTTCTCTCCCTGCCCTCCCCCCCCCTGCCGTCCGAGCGAAGTAGCGGAATCGCGCGGCAGCAATTTTAAGGATGTAAAAATGCGCGACAAGGATGCAAGCTTAACCGGCCTCGAACTTATCCCTCGCCGAAAGGCGATGACAATCTTAGGGATGCACCCTCAGAAACAAATGGAATATCTAAGATCGCCTTCGTGATGAGGCGATGCCCCACATAGGGATAGGGATAGGTTCCAGGCTGGTAAAAAGATGCGCGACAGGATGCAAGCTCCTCGGAAGCCGGGATTGAAACTTGTTCGACCGTGGCGGGCCATCGAAAGTAGCCGAGGATGGACCACAGATGGACCAAAGAGGCAAGGATGCAAAGATACTCTTGGGAAGGTTACCCATCCTTGTCCTCCGTTTCGGCAGCACCTGTTTAGAATCATGTTCACCCTCGGGGGGCCCTTGCTGGGCTCCAGGGCCGTCAAAGCACTGCTCGCGATGGAAGGCCCGCCCGGGGGGAACGGGTCGGGACTGCCGGGCCCCCCGCGTGGGAATCATCGAGACGTCGCACGGAAAGCGCACCCCCACCCTCGCCCTGGCCGCCCTCCTCCTCGCTCCTCGCTCCTCGCTCCCCGCTCCTCGCTCCCCGCTCCTCCTCGCTCCTCCTCGCTCCTCCTCGCTCCTCCTCGCTCCTCGCTCCTCGCTCCTCGCTCCTCCTCCTCCTCCTCCTCCTCCTCCTCCTCCTCCTCGCTCCTCGCTCCTCCTCCTCCTCATCCTCGCTCCTCCTCGCTCCTCCTCTCCTCCTCCTCCTCCTCCTCCTCCTCCTCCTCCCCTCCTCCTCCTCCTCCTCCTCCTCCCTCCTCCTCGCTCCTCGCTCCTCCTCGCTCCTCCTCTGGGGCGGGCCACAGCCGTCGCCCCCCCCCCCCCCCCGCGGCACGGCGGGGCGCGCGGGAAGGCCAGGCGCTGTGCCCTCTGTCGTTTTCACAGGGGCCCCCACCCTCTCGGGGAGGCGCCCCGCGGCGCACACCACACCGAAGGGGCCCAAGGACAAACCAAGAAATAGACACAACTCCGAAGAGGCCCCCTAGACGGTCCAAGAGGGCCCCGACTCGCCGAAACATCGCTCCAAGCCGCCCAAGATATGCCCCCGAGACGGCTCCAGAAGCCTCCAAGGCGTCCCCAGGATCCCCATCATCATCTCGCTCTCACCCCCCCCGGATCGGCGGCACTGGCCGGAGGCCAGCCCAATAGACACAACTCCTAGGACTCCCCGTACTTTCCAGCATGTTCTGGGCTTTCGTCTTCCCCTCAACTACCCCTGTGTTCCCACCTTTTCCTGGGAGCCGACGACGGATTGTGCATGTCTGTGCTTTTCCCTTCCGGACACTCCTCTTCCCGACCCCCACCCTCTCGGGAGGCGGTCAGGGATAGGTCAGACATGTCCCCCCCACAGGGGGATCTTGGGCGAAAAATCAAAAACAGCCAAAACATGTCGAACACATGCTCAAGGCTACTCGGAATTACCCTGTGACGTACCCAACCCATTTGTATCAATGGAAACGAGGAGTTGGCCGAAACTTGTATGGACAATCAACTTGATGTGTAAGCTACTTGGGAGGCGTCACTGTTCTGGGCCCCTCAGCAGGCCTCGGAAGTGGCGACAGTTTCACAGAACGCAGCCCCCCAGCGATGGCGAGGTCCGATTTGAATCTGCGTGTGGCGTCACTGTGCTGGGCCCCTCAGCAGCCCTCGAAAGTGGCGACAGTTTCACAGATCGCAGCCCCCCAGGGATGGCGAGGTCCAATTTGAGTCTGCCGTGAGTACCCACTGTGCTGGGCCCCCCAGCAGGCCTCGAAAGTGGCGACAATTTCACAGATCGCAGCCCCCCAGGGACGGCGAGGTCCAATTTGAGTCCGCGGTGAGTACCCACTGAGCTGGGCCCCTCAGCGGCCCTCGAAAGTGGCAACATTTTCACAGATCGAAGCCCCCCAGGGATGGCGAGGTCCAATTTGAGTCCGCGGTGAGTACCCACTGTGCTGGGCCCCTCAGCAGGCCTCGAAAATGGCGACAGTTTCGAAGAACGCAGCCCCCCAGGGATGGCGAGGACCCATCTCAGTCTGCCGTGAGTACCCACTGTGCTGGGCCCCTCAGCAGGCCTCGAAAGTGGCAAGTTTCACAGATCGCAGCCCCCCAAGGATGGCGAGGTCCCATTTGAGCCTGCGGTGAGTACCGACTGTGCTGGGCCCCATCAGCAGCCCTCGAAAGTGGCGACAGTTTCACAGATCGCAGCCCCCCAGGGATGGCGAGGTCCCATTTGAGTCTGCGGTGAGTACCCACTGTGCTGGGCCCCTCAGCAGGCCCTCGAAAGTGGCGACAGTTTCACAGATCGCAGCCCCCCAGGGATGGCGAGGTCCAATTTGAGTCCGCGGTGGTACCCACTGTGCTGGGCCCCCCAGCAGGCCTCGAAAGTGGCGACAGTTTCACAGAACGCAGCCCCCCAAGGATGGCGAGGTCCCATTTGAGTCTGCCGTGAGTACCCACTGTGCTGGGCCCCCAAGCAGGCCTCGAAAATGGCGACAGTGTCACAGATCGCAGCCCCCCAGGGATGGCGAGGACCCATCTCAGTCTGCCGTGAGTACCCACTGTGCTGGGCCCCTCAGCAGGCCTCGAAAGTGGCGACAGTTTCACAGAACGCAGCCCCCCAAAGATGGCGAGGTCCCATTTGAGTTTGCCGTGAGTACCCACTGTGCTGGGCCCCTCAGCAGGCCTCGAAAGTGGCGACAATTTCACAGATCGCAGCCCCCCAGGGATGGCGAGGTCCCATTTGAGTCTGCGGTGGGTACCCACTGTGCGGGGCCCCTCAGCAGCCCTCGAAAGTGGCGACAGTTTCACAGATCGCAGCCCCCCAGGGATGGCGAGGTCCCATTTGAGTCTGCGGTGAGTACCCGCTGCGCTGGGCCCCTCAGCAGCCCTCGAAAGTGGCGACAGTTTCACAGATCGCAGCCCCCCAGGGATGGCGAGGTCTAATTTGAGTCCGCCGTGGGTACCCACTGTGCTGGGCCCCCCAGCAGGCCTCGAAAGTGGCGACAGTTTCACAGATCGCAGCCCCCCAGGGATGGCGAGGTCCCATTTGAGTCTGCCGTGGGTACCCACTGTGCTGGGCCCCCCAGCAGCCCTCGAAAGTGGCGACAATTTCACAGAACGCAGCCCCCCAAAGATGGCGAGGTCCCATTTGAGTCTGCCGTGAGTACCCACTGTGCTGGGCCCCCCAGCAGGCCTCGAAAGTGGCGACAATTTCACAGATCGCAGCCCCCCAGGGATGGCGAGGTCCCATTTGATCCTGCGGTGAGTACCCACTGTGCTGGGCCCCTCAGCAGGCCTCGAAAGTGGCGACAATTTCACAGAACGCAGCCCCCCAGGGATGGCGAGGTCCCATTTGAGTCTGCCGTGGGTACCCACTGTGCTGGGCCCCCCAGCAGCCCTCGAAAGTGGCGACAATTTCACAGATCGCAGCCCCCCAAGGATGGCGAGGTCCCATTTGAGTCTGCCGTGAGTACCCACTGCGCTGGGCCCCCCAGCAGGCCTCGAAAATGGCGACGGTTTCACAGACCG